ATTTATATATTGATTTACTTTTACTCTCTATTGACTGCGAAGATTCTTCGAAACCCCCCTCTACGCAATAATTGACCGCAGATCTGCATACCTCCCCAAGAAGCCTGTAACCATTCTTAGATTTGATAACGCGGTGTTGGTAAGTTGGTAAGTCTGTCAGTTTTCATAAATAATTTCAGGGTTCTATCCTTTATGTATTTTTGACTGCATTAATCTTTAGGTCCTCGTCCTAATGTATCATAGTACCTTGAAAAGTCTTCTCAGAACCTGGCTTTATGCAATTTCTAGCTGGCGAATAGTAGTGTTTGAGGCCTTGCTAAACACTACACATCCATATGGAAGTGACGGTCGAATTGTTTGTTCTTACCATTGTAATTTTCATTTTTGAAAAGCGGTTGGAGAAGATGAAGAATTTTGTCACAGCTAATTTTTTTCAGTTGAACATATTTAAGCTATGTGAATCGTTTGTCCAACGTGATGCCAAGATATTTAATGCTGTCCTCCCAGTTTATTATCATATCTCCTACTCTAACTCTCGACGGTTTGATATCTTTTATAATTTAATTAATTATAACTAATTAATTAATATTATTGGACAGAATTATATGTATTCCATAAAGAATTAAAATTACCTCGCATATGTAGGTATATCAAAAATTCAGCCAATTTCCGCTTAACTCTGCATAAAAGTATCTTTGTGCATAAAATTACTGAAAAGGACGAAGAGCAATAAGCGAAATAGCCAAAGAATTGTGTTCCAAAGTTGTATGCTTAAAATTGTAGCTTTTCAACACTTATTAGCAACTTTTCAAAACTTTTTTCCAAAAATGCCATAACAAAATATTTAGAATTATGCGGAATCCGTTTGTAACGCCATCTTGCAATGTAGTTATGAGATAACAACATTTTGTGGTTCATGGTAGGATTTCTGACAAAAGTGAAAATTCTTTTGGTTAAGCGAGAATGAAAAAAATTGCATGAATGGGGAAAATTTTTTGATACCACAAACACCGAATCCAAACCAAACCAAGAAGAATGTGTGTAAAAATCTGTTTAACTTAATTGGTTTTCCGTTTTATACGGTTTTACCCAAAATACACGCAGTACTTAAATTATTCAAATTACAAAAAAGTTGAATAAAAAAACAAGAAGTGAATGAATACAACCGATGAAATACTCACTCCTTAATTATTTAAACTTTAGGTTCATTACAGAGACTATTATGTGCTTGTGTGCTTTTCTACCTGTATTTATTTATTTGACATATTTATTCATACATATGTACGCATATATATTTATATATATATGTATATATGTATGTATATTCATTATTAAAATGAATTTCTTGTGCTACAAATATTGCAACTTAACACGTGTATACTTCTTAGCAAGTCTTTTGCATAGCAAATACAAAACTGAATGAGTTATTGACTAGATTCATCATTCTTTTGTTGTCTTTGTATTTCCTCCCAGTTGCCTGATAATAGAACAAAGTTTAAAATTTTGCAAAATTTATGTTTTGCGATATGTCGAAATTGACAGATAAAGTATATTTGTACACATGTTAATATATTGACTTTGCATAATTCATTTAAATTTTAACAATAATACTGATTAAATGGTAGAATCTTTCGTGTGGAAGCCTTTTTCAAAAACAACATTGGACTGGAAAAGAGATAAATATCTGTATCTGTATACATTCACTACTTCTTTTTATATATAAATATGTATATTAATATTAGTATATTCTAGTTTTTATTCATTATTATTTGCATCTTTAGTTTTAAATTTTAAAGTGATGAAATATAGTTTAATGGTTTCTCAACTTAACTAATAGGGATTTCTATGTGGTAACTGTTTAAATATTACATAAATTAAACTCCATTTTTATTATTCCATCAATCAAGAACTTATACATATAAAAAATTAAAGCTAAAAACAAAAGCTTTTTAACAATCAATAGCTTATTGGATGTAAATAAAGTCAACAAACATTATTGGCTAAGAATAAAAAGCAAATATTCAATATTAAAACCAATATAAGGGTTTATAATGTCTGAATAAAATTTAAATTTATATAAATTAAATAAATTTATTAAATTTTTAATAATTTGCTAAGAAAGCAAGAAATCAAAGAACTGCATCGATACTTTCCGCATCATGATAATTCGTCAGTTATTACTGGTGGAATAGTTAACGCTTTCAGGAGTTAAAGAGATTTGTCCAGCGCCATCTTTACTAAATCTAACACCATGTGATTTCTAGTTTCTTCCAAGTTTAAAAAAAAAATTATAGAGAAGACCATTAGTGCAGTTAATCTCGAAGCTGTAAACATAACACATCCAATTTTGAGAACTGTTCTAGAAAGCTGATCTACAGGAATCTAAAATAAATAAAAACTAATGAAAATATGTTGAAAAAATAAAAAATGATAAAGGTTTTGAAACGTCAAAATGATGAAAATGAAGAAAGATGTGAAACTAAAATTTACTAAAATTTTTTAAGTATTTTTATAATCTACTGAGCGAACTTTAGTATGCATTTTGTACGGAATGTATTTTGTATGAATTATCGTTGTTGCTTCCAATTCGAATAATTTCTTCGTACTTAGGTTTTGCATTTGTATTGTTGATACTTGTTGTCTTCGGTTTTTTAACTTAGTCAATTCTCAACTCAACTTAAATATTTAATTTATAACT